CAAAGGGTGATCAGGTTTGGTGAGTTTTCAGTTTTGGAGATTTTTTCATGTCAACAGCAATTTTTTCATCCCCAAACCTTTCCTGACTCAGCCTATCCCCTGGCAGTGCAAGGGTAAGCTGGCTGGGAACAGGCAGTGCACAATTCACCCTATGTAGAGCTCCTAACTGCCTCACATAGGAAACATTGGTTAAATATGAATCCAGTGTTTGCAGAACAGCTCTACCATGCCTTAGAGGGATAGAGGCATCAGAAGGGAGGTGCTGCAGTGGCAGATCCAATATGGTTGAAACCACCACAGTGCTATTTACCAGCTCCAAGGGAGGAGGAAAAGGAGAAGGAGGAAGAGGTTTATATGATGCAACTTCACACACATGAATTAAAGATTTTAAAACAAAATGGTCAAGAGAATTTTAACCACCAACATGTTCCATCATTGGAGACAGAAAACATGGTGGCCTGAACTGCTAATGAGTTAAGCTTAGTCCTGGAACCACTGTCAACAATACTGAACTGCCTGCGCAAGTGGGGGGCATTAGTCCATGAATAATGAACGAGAGAAGCGAACAACAGAATTAAGTTATCAAATATTAATAAGCAAGATCCTTAAGCAAAGGGGAAAAGCTAGCTGTAAAAAAACAAACAAAAAAAAACAAATAGTAAGATGAAGTCACTAAAGTTTGCTTAAATAAAATTAAATTTAGGACTAGATTTTTTCCTTTAATACACCCCTCAGAAAGCCTGTTTACCAAATGAATCATAAAAACCAAAGAAGTCTATTCTAAACACAAACTACTTATTGAATAATAAAAGGTATTTGTCTTATAATTCCTTGCTTGAAATGGGATCAGTCACAAGAGAGATAAGAGGTATAAAACTAGAAGGGACCCAAGAATTTACAAAACTAAATGACTTTCCAATGTACATAAATATTGTTGTAAATTAGATATCTAATTCGGCATTAGGGATGTTAAATATATCAATTAATTAACTAATCCAATAGTCGATGGGATTTCCATCTATTATTCAATCAGGACTAGCATGTTCCACCTTTGAAATGTTCCACCTGTTGGGGATCTTGTACATTTCAAAGCAAAAGTTCCCACATGGAGTCTGGGGTGAGTGGGGGACTCATCGCTGGCCACAGGCTCCGTGCAGTGTTCCAACTTTGAAATATACAAGAGTCCCCGCTGGGGCTCTTGTACATTTTTAAGAGGAAGTGCCCCTGCTTCACCTCTGCCCCGTCCCACGGAGCTGGGGGGAGCTGGCTTAAAAGCACCCCTTCTGCTTCCACCCCTTGCTGCCTCTTTGTGATAGACAC